TTTTTTTTTTTTTTTTAGTTTTTTGAGACAGGGTCTCACTACATAGTTGAGACTGACCTGGAACTCACTATGTAGCCCAGGCTGGTCTCGAACTCACAGAGATCCTCCTGCCTCAACCTCCTGAGTGCTGGGATTACATGCGTGGGCCACCACGCCCAGCGGAACATCAGATTTTATGGCATCATATCAAATAGGCTTTCATTTCTTCTTTAGAAAACAGTAAAAGGTGAGCTACATCTCAGAAACCTGTTGAAACAAATTCATGTAATTCCTAGCCACTGTGGACTCCTCTAAAACCACCCAGACCAGGAAGGCTGGAAGAACTAGGGACATTCCCCACCCCAGTCTGAATGGATGAAGGGCTTTGCTCTACAGACAAAACTAAGACCCAGTCCTAACTTACTGAGAAGGCTGTCTTGAAAATAATTTGGTCTGAAATGAGAACCAAGACCTGTCATGTAAAGGTACAAGATCTCAATAATGACTATAACTGTACTGTATAGCTAAAATGTACCAATAAACTCATGAGGAAAAAAAAAAAAAGAAAATAATTTGGTCTGGAAGTCTGTATGAGCTCTGTAGCACTCTGAGTCACAAGGCAGCATGATTCATGCCAGGCGCAGGACTGTACCAGCATTCCTGTCTCAGCCTCACCTTATTTCGACTGTATCGGACTGTGCCCTTTCGAGTATCTTCTGAGACGAGGTCTGTGAATATCCAGCCAACCTTAATGAAAAAGGAAAGTATCTTTTGAATCTCTCCCTAAAACAGATGGCGATGGTTCCTGGCTTCTGCCCAAGGAGCATGAGAAAAGTGTCCTGGCAGAGAGCCTTCCTTCCTGCAAGCCCCATGAGCAGCTCCACAGCAAAGCTGCCAGGCCATACCAGGGCTTCCAAACCCTGCTCAGAAGAAACTAGCCTCCTCTCTCTGGTGCTACTAGGCTGGGCAAATGCAGGGCCCACTGATCCATCAAAAAGGGTTCTGCTCAGCGCAACTGTGCCACACTTGCAGGGTACGGGACCATGTGAATGGGACCAACAAATTGTGGTGAAAGAGAGCTTATCACAAACAGGAAGACAGAAAAGAACCAAACACTAAGAAGTTTCCAAAGCTAGGTCTTTCTCCACGTTTTAAAAACAATTCCCTAGCAGGGGAAAAAATGAGAACCAAGACCTGTCATGTAGAGGTACAAGATCCTAACAATGAATGTAACTGTACTGTATCCCTAAAATGTACCAATATACTCAATTAAAAAGAAAAAAAAAATTCCCTAGGGAAAACACCTAAACTTCTAAAGGATGACCTCACTCCACTGGCTCATAGCCTCAGGGCAGGGAGGGGAAGGAACCGTCTGAGGTCACAGGATCTGAAGAACAACCCCGAAGCACCTGAAAGGCCAATCAGAGCTGGGGAGGGCACCCACTGTACTGCGACCCAGGCCTCTGTTGGCTCCCCAAATCAGAATTCACGTGTCTGTCCCAGCAGCTCTACAGGCCAGCCAGGCACAGCTGTCCACCTCTATCCTTGGGAACAACGATGGCTGACCACTGCCCTCTCCAGCACAGCCTACTGCTCTGCTCATCAAACCACTGGGCACACTCAGGATTGTCACTGTAGTCCGATGCCCAGGCCAACACAGGCCCAAGGAGGTCAGCAGAGAAGAAAGCGAGACTGGAGGGTCAGACTAACCAGGCAGTAGAGGGTAACTACACCTACGTCAAGCAGAGTCAAAATGAGGCCCAGGTGAGGAACTGGTAGTTCATAAAAGGCACTTAGATAACTTTTATACTTTGTGTTATGTTGCCATGAACTGAAAATTGTGACACACATATGTCAACAACACTAGACAAGGGCCAGGGATTTAGCTCAGTGGCGCCACCTACCTAGCAAGTACGAGGTCCTGAGTTCAATCCCCAGTACCAAAAAACAAAACAAAACAAAAACCAACAACACTAGAGCAGCTTCTCATTTAAAAAAACTTCAGAATTGAAATCAAAATGACCCTACATGGGCTGAGGATTTAGCTCAGTGGTTCCAGTGCCTGTCTCGCAAGTGCAAGGGCCTGAGTTCAATACCAAGTACCAAAATGACCCTACAATGAGATGTTCACTTCCTGTTAAAAACTGTTAAGATATTGTTTCCCTAACAGAATAAAACTAAAAAAAAAAAAAAAAAAAAAAAAAAAAAAAAAAAAAAAAAAAAAAATACATTATCTTTGCTCAGCACATTCCTGGGCTTTAAATCACATTTCTAGCCTTCCTCCCCATGCTACTCTTACATAGTTACTAAAACTGGACTTCTAAGATTATTTCAATTTCACAGCTCAGTTTGTCTATAAATATCAATCTACAGCCAAGTGTGGTGGCGTATGCCTGTAATCCTAGAATTTGGCAGGCTGAGGCAGTAGGATCATGTGGAGTTCAAGGCCAGTCTAAATTATATATGGAGACCTAGCCCAACAAAACCGACCCCCCCCAAAAAATCAATCAATCTATGGTTTGAGACAAACTATAACAACAGATTCTGAAAGAAAATCTTACTCTTCTAACTAAGCCAGAAACCAAGAAGATCACAGGCTCAGACACTTAAAAAAAATGTTTTTTGAGACAGGGTCTCACTATGTAGATTACACTGGCCTTGAATTCACTGTAGCCCAGGCTGGCCTCAAAAGTGCAGCAATCCTCTTGCCTCAGCCTCCCAAGCGCTGAGATTACAGCCCAGCTAATACCTATATTATACACAGGAAATTTGATAATGATGAACACTAAACTTACTGGAAAATAAATTAGGTAGAACTCTTGAAGGGGGTGAAGGGAGGGTGGGGACAAGGGGAAAAAATGAGAACCAAGACCTGGCATGTAAAGGTACAAGATCCCAGTAATGAATGTAACTGTACTGTCTACCTAGAATGTACCAATAAATTCGATTTAAAATAAAATTTAAAAAAAAGAACTCTCGAAGACATTGGCATAGCAGACTTTATGAACTAATTCTCAGCAGCATGAGAACTTGCACAAAGAATCAACAACTGGAATCTCAGTGCATTAAAGTTTTCGCAGTACAAGAGAAATCACCAACAAAGCTAAGAGAAAACCTACAATGTGGGAAAAAAAAAATTTAACCAGCTACTCCTCAAAGGACTACTATCTAGAATATATAAAGAACTCAAAAAAATCAGACCCCCCCCAAATACAAAGACCCAATTCAAAAATGAGCATCTGAAATGAACAAACATTTCTTAGACAAAGAGGTAAAAGCAGCAAATAAATATATACAAAAATGTTCAACATCACTGGTCATTCGAGAGATGCAGATGAAAACAACCTTACCCCAAAAAGAATGGCTGCTATCAAGAAATCAACCAATAACAAATGCTGGCGGGGATGTGGGGAGAAAGGGACCCTTCTCCATTGTTGGTGAGTGCAGACTGGTGCAACTACTGTGGATATCGATATGGAAATACCTCAAAGAACTAGGATTAGAGGTCCCATTTGACCCAGCTATCCCTCTGCTGGGTATTTTTCCAAAAGAATCATACCACAGTGATATATGTGCACCCATGTTTATAGTGGCACAGTTTGTAATAGCTAAAACTGGGAAACAGCCCAAATGCCCATCAACTGGAGACTGGATCAAGATGTGTTTTTTTCTATAAAATGGAGTACTACTCTGCCATAAAGAATGAGAAATTAGAAATACTTATAGCTAAATGGATGCACATTGAGGCTATACTTTTCTCTTTTTTGGGGTACCGGGGATGGAACTCGGGTCCTTGCCCTTTTGAGGCAGGCCACGGAACCACTGAGCTAAATCCCCACCAGCCCTTGAGGCTATACACTTAAGTGAAATATATAGGACACATCTGAGTAAATACCGAATAGATTCTCTGGTGTGAAAAACTAAAAGTGTAAATAAGGTTCAAATGGTATAATTGAGAGTGTGAATTAGGAAGAAAATGGCTAAAGGGGAAGTGAGAAAGGGAGAGGAAAGAAGGGAAAAGAAAAAAATCTGAAAAAAGAAAAAATGCAAACAAAGTCTTTGTAAATAGGGAAGGGTGAAGGGGGTGAAGGGAGGCAAGGGGAAAAACAAGAACTAAGTCATATCATGTAAAGGTACAAGATCCCAATGATAAATGTAACTGTACCGTTTGCTTTAAATAAATGGAGAAAAAAAAAATCTAATGATGATAGACAAGGTAACACCAGGGGTACCACATGCATAGGACAGAAATGAACCAAGCAATGCAAGGGGAATGCCCTGGTCAGAAGTGGTGCGGCTGACAGTTTTTTAAATGATGGGACCTGGGCCAGGACCATGTTTTACGCTTAATGAAGTAGTCCTATCTCCCTCTATGTCAAAGCCACACATGAGCGTAAGTGAGACTCCACACAGGTCATGCCTGCAACTGACCACGTGCAGCTAAGGAGCTGGTTCCAGACGAAGACTGGCCACCCTGCCTGCCTTAACAGCCCAAGTACAGGGCCTGGGTCCCCCCAGAAGGCCCTAGCTGACAAGAGGACTTCATACCTTCCTTAGGCCAAGTTTGGCAGCAATCTCATCAACTACCTCGGCTTTTGGATCTTCCAGAAGCTCCAGGCTGTTCTGTGTACCAATCTGTCAGGAATTAAAGGGAAAAACAGAATCAGAGGACAGGCACTAAAACCAATGCCCTCACCCCTTTTTCCCCTCCAAGGCCACAGCAACCCTTCCACTAGCAAAACAGCCCACAGCCCCCTGGTCATCCCTCCTTGGACTACAGAGCCCTTCAGCAGGGTGTGCTACAATGCTGTGGATGAAGGATGGGAAGGCTGTCTATGCCATCCGACTGAAAGGAAGCTGTTTTCAAAACTCCCTTGGACAGCAGGATTTATAAACAAGCAAGACTGTAGATATGATGTAGCTCTAGTCCCAGAATCAGCCTTACAGCAGTAGTGTGCCATGCTGTAGGGTCAGTGCCCCACACCACTACCAAGACAGAGTCAGAGATACAGCCTGACCTGCACCTGCATCAAGAGAAAGGCTGTGCACACTGTAACTTGAGTGCCAGGCAGCAGAACACTTGTCTCGGGCTGTGCTCACAGGACACTGGCCTCCTGGAGGGGAAAAGTCTTGCCAGTATCTTTTATTTTCATTTAAATGCAGCTTGTAGGTCATGAATAAGCATCACTCCAAGCAGCAACCCCAGCCTCACAGGAGGATCACTGACAGTTCGAGACCAGCCTGGGCTACGTAGTGAGTTCTAGATCAGACATTTTTTTTGGTACTGGGAATCAAACTTGGGTCCCTGCGCTTGCAAAGCAGACACCAGAACCACTGAGCTAAATCTCCGGCCCTAGGTCAGTCTTAACTACATAGTAAGACCCTGTCTCAAAAAACAAACAAACAAAAAAAGAAACCCCAGCCTCAGGGATAATAAAGTGAAGGTTATCCAAAATTGAGTTATATTCACCAGGCACAGTTTTGTTTTCTCTCTCTCTCTCTCCCTCCCTCTCCCTCTCCCTCGCTCTCTGTTTTTTGGCAGGATCATGCTGCTTCCAGCCAGCCTTGAACTCACTCTGTACCCCAGGATGGCCTTGAACTCAAAGCAATTCTCCTGCCTCGCTCTCCAGAGTGCTGGAACTACAGGCGTGCATCACCATGCCTGGTGTCTTTGTTATAAATCAGTCAAATTTTGTCAAAACACCAAAAAACTTTTTGTTTCCTGGTTACCACCCACGTGGAAGGCATAAATACCTCCAAAGTACAGATAAAATCCCAAGCTCAAGACAAATCTAGAAGATACTTGCTCAATGACCCATGGCAGCAGTGGCTTTAAGTCCTGACAAGCAGGAGGTTACTCAAGGTGAACTGTTTCAATGTCCTGGACCCAGAGATCGGGATCTCTGCTGCTGCCAATCTGGACACCAGAGGTTCGGGGTTTGTTTTGCAGTATAGGGAACTGAACCCAGGGCCTTCCAAGTGGTAAACAAGTGCTCCACCACCAAGCTACATGCCCAGCCCATTTCATTTATTTTTTAATCTTGGGACAGGGTCTCACTATGTGGCCCAGGCAGGCATCAAATTTGCAATCCTGCCTTAGCAAGCAAGTAGCCAGCATTATAGGCATGTACCACCATACACAATCAGGCTTCTATTCCAAATTTTTTCAATTATCCTTTTAACAGAACTATTAAATTCTCCATAAAAGAGGCTTTCTACAAAACTGAATTGACTGTTCAACCTGGGCATGGTGGTGCACACCTATAATCCCAGCACTCAGGGGGCTAAAGCAAGAGGAGCATCGTAACTTCAAGGGCAATCTGTATTACACAATGAGACCATATCAATGCCCCCAAACAAAACAAAACACAATTCTCAGCTCCAGATTACAGCACACACCTAGTGGCCTGAGGCTAGATGAGCCAGGTCTCTGTGTGGGTCTCTGGTGCCATCTGGCATCACTTTGGGACTGCACCGTGACAAAAGACCTCAAACTCAAACTCCACAGTCCCATGGAGATGCCAAGTGTCCACCAGGGCAGCACACTCAGAACCTGTACAACAGTCAGAGAGGGCTCATCTACTTGTTAGGAGCCACACACCACTACACTCCAACTGGCACCCACCTGCCGCTGGCAGTCTCAGGTCCTGTCCACAGTACCCAAAACAGGCCCCCAGCAGGGGCTGCCAGGCACCCACCCTGGTCGGGTGGTCTAAGGGCAGGTCAGCCACAGAGTGACCTCCGGAACAGAGGGAGGTCAGGAAAGCACAAGCAGTGCAATGAACATGCAGAAAAGAGGGACAGCACCACGGCATACCAATGTGTCTGCTTAGGCTAAAAAATCACACCGTCAACAGGCCACAGGGGTTCTGAACCAAAAGCAGGTGAAGTGGCCTACACCATGTTTGTAAACTGACTTTGCAACTATATAAATGTGGTTTTCTTCCCCATGAAACACCAAATATAAAGTATAAAGAATTTTACAGTGGGCGGGGGATTTAGCTCAATGGCGCCACATCTGCCTCACAAGCACAAGGTCCTGAGTTTGATCCCTAGTAGTTCAATTCTTTTTAGGTAACACAAAATTTTATAGCGGACACCCATGCCCTACCATCTAGATTCAGAAACAAGTCTGTCCGTTTTTTTTGAGACAGTCACACTATGTAGCCTGAGCTCTTCCTACCTTGGCCTCCTGAGTGCTGGGGTTACAGGTGTGCAACACCAGGCCCATTTGTCTATCCCTCTTGTCACCTACCAATCCAGTGCATTTTTCTGTTGGATTTTAAAGTACCTTGCAGGGCCAGAGGTTTAGCTCAATGGTTCCGCCACCTGCCTTGCAAGAGCAAGGACCAGAGTTCAATCCCCGGTACGTACCAAAACAATAAATAAAGTAGCCTGCAGACACTAGCACACATCCCTCAAAATACATCACAGGTACATCATTAACTAGAATTCAATATTTGTTTGTTTGTTTGTTTGGTACCAGGGATCGAACTCAGACCCTTGCAATTGCAAGGCAGGTGGCAGAATACTGAGCCAAATCCCTGGCCCTCAATATTTATTTAGCTTTCATTTGTTGTTGTTGTTGAGATCCTGGGGACTGAACCCTGGGCCTTCACTCTACATCCCTAGCCTTCTCATTTTGAGACAAAATCCTGCTAAATTGCCCAGTCTGGACTCAAACTTGTGACTCTCCTGGCTCAGTCTCTAAGAGTGCTGAGATTATAGGTGTGCTCTACTACAACCAGTAGACTATTTGTTTTTGTAACAAATTTTATATAATGAAAACACACCATATAAATACTTTTTATAATTATAAAGTAAATTAAAATTTATGTAAGCATACAAACACCAAATTTTACAAATCAAAAACGTGTCACTGATTGATGGCATTATCACACAGAGATCTTTCCTAGCTTTTTGTTTGTTTTTGTGTTTTGAGACAGGGTCTCACTATGTAGTTGAGACTGACCTGGAACTATGTATCCCAGGCTGGTCTCAAAATCACAGAGATCCTCGATCCTCCTGCCTCAGCCTCCCCAGTGCTGGGATTATAGGCATGCACCACCACACCCGGCTCATACCAATCTTTTTTTTTTTTTTTTTTTTTTTTTATTCCCCCTGTGTATCCCAGGCTGGCCTCAAATTTGTGGTGATTCTTCTGCCTCAGTCTCTCGGATGCTGAGATTACAGCCATGTGCCACCATACTTGTCAGTAGCTTTAAAACAGTGACTGTGACCCCCTAGAAGGATATATCCTTGCCTCATTAAAACTTTTTACCATTTACAGCCCTATTTTGGTAGTCATTTTAGCTATTTTTTATTCTGAGATTGGATGATGTATGGTCCAAGTCAAAGAATATGAGTCAATCTGTGGTACTCACATCCTAGGAGTCCTGTAGCTCTGCCTCCCACAAGGCAGGAAACACAGAACTATGGAGTAGACCTGAAGCCACTGCTCCCCAGTACTGGGTCAAAGTGCAGACCCAGAACTCAGACAGCAGCTGCAGGTACTGGGTCAGAGCATATTCCACCTCTTCAGGTCAATAAACGTGCAAGCATGTCAGAAGAGTATCTGTACTCTAAGAACTGAGATATTACGGAAAGGGTCTTACTCTCCAGTAATTCAGAAAACTAACGTGCGCATTCATGTGGGTGTGTATGTGTGAGTGCTCGTGTGTGTAGCAAGAGAGAAGGTGTACAAATGATGAAGCAAATAGAAGATGCAATATAAAGAGTGCATCCACACAGCCTTCTAAACAAGAGAACACAGCTCTCCATAAATGTAAATCCCACACAGATGTACCTGAGGAGGTTCGTAAATTGCAGCCACCTCAGCCCTGATGCCAAGGGGAATGTCTTTGTGCTCCGTGTACCGTCCGTACAAGTACCCAAAATGCTGGTTTCCTGTCTTCCTCCAGAAGTCTAGGAAGCGGTCAGCAACAGTGTGATTCTCAAACATAATGTTGTCTACATGTCTGTATTTCTGTAGAATTAACAACAGTGGGCTACATAAAAAGATTCCACTGAAAACAATTCATTTTTCTAAAACAAACCATCACAAAGTTTCTTTCATCTAGTTCTTTAGGGAATTAAAAAAAAAAAAGTTTCCACAATCTCTAGAGCAAAAAACAGTTTTCAGGAAGGAGCAAATAAATGGGTAAGAAAAGAGAGGAATGGATGCGTTCCCCTGCATCTAAAAGGCCATGGTGTGCTCTAAGGAACTGGATGTGGCTAGGTGACAGCAGGAGTAGGGTGCATTGCTGAGAAGCATCAGTGAAGACTGACATCCTTCCCCCCACAGCAGGTGGCTCTGGAAAGACTCCATCATTAGCCTCCAGAAACAATTTTGTTTATTTTTGTGACAGGGGCTGTAACTCAGTGCAAAGGCCCTGGGTTCAATACCCAGTACTGCCAATCAAAAACAGGCAAAAATCATAAGCCTTAGCATTTAAACAGTTCAAGAAAATTCCACCTCCACATAGACAAAAAAAAAAGGAACCAAAATTCCTATACCATAGGAGCAAGAGCTAAAAATTTTATAAACTACATCTTCCGCACCAACTGATGGATCACCTGGGACTCTGCACACATACCACTCTGCTGGAGGCAGCTCTTCTCCAAGAAAACACCCACCTCTCAGCAATGCCAAACCGAGCCGGCTCACCTGTCTATTCAGGGTGATGGCGCTGGGTTGGCACTTGGTGCAGATGCCATTAGGCCACGGGAGGTGTCCCTCACACCCTGACTTAATCTTGCAGCTGATGTTCTCCAAGGCAACAAACTTCCCCCTGAAGGAGAGAAACAAGTGAGCATGTGTGCAACCCTGAGAAGGCTGGCAGGAGATGGAGAAGTATGTGAAGCAGCTCACACACACCACAAACACATCCCAGGCAGGTGTCAAGTGTGCTGCATGGGGGATCCACACTAAAACCACAGTGGCAGGACTCTACAGCCCAGCTTCAGTCCTGTGCAAACACACGGCTCGCTCCCCACAGGAACACAGTCTCCACTTTCAGCTATGCCACATATCCATAAGGTTTTCAAGCCACTGCTCAGTATCTATTGACTGACCTGTGCCACTCAGAGGAGGTTTGGGCAATTCATTAACAACTATAACATTAGCAGACCAGTACTTACACACTAGTAAAAAAATTCGTATTCTTCAGAAAAACCTAATTAGGATACATAACAGTGATACCTTCAATCTGCTTTTAGCTAAAAAACCAACCAACTGCCAGGCATGGTGGCACATGCTTGTAATCCCAGCACTCAGGAGGCTGAGGCAGGAGGATCGCTGTGATTTCGAGACCAGCCTGGGCTACATAGTGAGAGTGACATTCTCTCTGGTCATTCTCAACTACATAGTGAGACCCTGCCTCAAAAATAAATAAATAAATAAATAACCAACCAATCGAACAAAAACACACACAAAAAAAATACAAAATTTGTTAGAAGCCTGTCAAGAAGGAAGTCTTGGGGGCCAGCGATTTAGCTCAGTAGCACCACTCCTGCTTTGCAAGTGCAAGGTCCTGAGTTCAATCCCTGGTACCAAAAAAAAAAAAAAAAAAAAAAAAAAAAAGCAAAACATAGTCTTAGGCCCTGCTCTGAACTTAGGATGAATCTGTACACGTGACATTAGTTTTCTCATTCACAAAATAGTCTAATAATTTCATTTTATTTCACTTTTTCCAGAACCTCACTGAGGTATAGGTATAGGACAAATAATTATATGGATTTAAGGTGCACAGTGTAGTTTTGTTTTGAAAATAAAATTGAATGTATTTTTGGTGCTCAAGATGTTTTATTTTTGTTTGCAATAGCAGGAATTGAACCTGGGGCCACAAACATGCGAGATAAGCACTCCATCACTGAGCTACACTTTCAGCCCTTTTTATCTTCAGACAAGATCTCGGTAAATTGCCCAGGCTGGCCTTGAACTTGTGATCCTCCTGCCTCAGCTTCCTGAGGAGCTAGGATTACAGGTGTGTACCACAGCATCCAGCATCCAGCTGTTCATGACATTCTAAAATAAATACATGCTGTGGAATGGCCAATCTGAGCTAACAGGTACACACATGGCCTCACACATTGACCAGTCTAATTTTTTTGCGGGGGAGGGTACCAGGGATCGAACTTGGGACCTTGCGCTTTCAAGGCAGCAGAACCACTGAGCTAAATTCCTGGCCCTTGACCAGTCTATTTTCATAAGCCAAGGGCACACTGGTCTCTGTGCACCTGAGAGGCCATGGCACACTGCCCAGCACAGGTTATATTCCTTGACCTAGACTGACAAAGACTGATCAGGCTACTTTCACTGCACTAAAACCCCCTTGTTCCCTGGTCCAGACTGCCCTACAGCTTTTCCCACTGACAGAAAAGACTAAGCTTCTAAGTAGGGTTTTTTGCCAGATCTAACACTTTTGAAAACTCATTTTAGAATGTCAGCAGGTTATCATAGAAAATCTACAAATCAGGAGAATGTGATGTTCTTCACAAAATGTTGCTGACTTGGGCTCGACCGGTCTCTGCTTGTCATACTAACAGGACTTACAGAACTACAACTGAGGTCTGTCATTCTGGTAAGGTGTACACAGAATGTGTGCACAGACCAGCACTTGACATGGGGTAAAGAAATCAAAATGCTCTCATTTAGACCTTTCTGGCCACCGCTACCATCTGCCTTCAGAAGCTGAGAGAAGGCTGCCTGCCTGCCTGTGGGAGACAACCACAGTAGTAGCTGAAGTGCAGGCCTTGCCGTGGGCTGCACTTGTACTTCTGTGAAAACAAAACTGAAGGGCTCCCAAGGGATGAAATGGCTGAGCTGGGGAAATCATGGGGCAGTGGTCTTTCTACAAAGGAGAGGAAGAGCTCCGACCCACAGAACCAACAGGCTACTATCAAGGGTGCTGGGCACATGGCAGGGGCCATGGCAGGATCTACCCAGGCATCTACCCCAGCTCTGGGCACTGTGGACATGCACCAGGCTGACTCCCATGGATCCCCCCCTTCTAATTCAGCAAAGTTCCATTGCTTTGTGCCTCGCTGTAAGCAACAAGTGCCACAGACAGAAAAAGGAGTTCCCATATGCAGAGGTCACTTGCAGCTGCTTACTTATCGGCCCCTCCGGTCAGCTTCCGGATGTAAGCATGGAAGGACATGTGCTTCACAGGAGGCTCCAGGTGGTTTAGGTAGTCCTCGTCGAATGGCTGCCAAAACACACAAAGAGCAAGCAGTCATGTGTCTGTGGGATGGGTGGGGCACAGGGAGCCCACTGTGCAGGGGAGCAACCCAGGCAGTGCAGTCTCCAAGGTCAGGATGCAGGGGCAGCACACAAGTTGGAATCCAGGTCATAGCCCAGCTCACCTAGTTCTAAATCAGAATCAAGTTCTTCTCCACTTTTCAGTTATCTTTTCAAGATTAAATGTACTAATACTGAACACTAAATGTTCATAAAGCAAATTAATTTCCAGGAAATTTTTGCAGAATGTCATGCCACAATCTGGTTGAAAACAAAGCTCCTCGCCTAGCCTAAGTGGGGCTCTGGGTTCGATCCCCAGGACCACCAAAACAAAAGCACATATGAGGCCAGAGGGGCTGCACAGAGAAGAAAATCAGGTTGGTCTTGCTCCCATGAGCTCACCGTTCCCATATTACCAGTCAGCATTATCACAGTAACTTCCATCTCACCAGAACAAAGCAGCAGAGCAGACAGGATTCAGTCACAGTAAATCAAAGCAATGACAAGCACCAGCCAAAAGGCCCCACTCTGTGTCAAAATTTTAAAACGACTGTTACAGGGAGCCCACTGTACATGCTCTCCCTTTATCACAGCAACACAAATGCTTCAGCCATTCATAATCCACCCAGAAGGTCGCTCCCATAAATAAAGGCTCATCCCCTTTATGCCACTTGCACTAGAGACTATGAGGCCCAGGGCAACAAATAGGTAAGTTCTTTAACCATGACATTCAAGTGCAGGGACTCAGAAGTGCATAGACAGCTCTGTTACCAGTGGCCAACCCTGCTGGCCAATCGAGGACTCACCTCCAGAGGCACGCAGTGCACACACTTTCCCAAGGGGCCATGGCGGCATCTGAGGAGAATACAAGCAGAGAAAGGCAGAGCAATATGTAGATTATTTTTCTGTTGCTGCCTCCCAACATTTTTGATATTTATTTTTGGTTTTTCAAGACAGGGTCTCGCCGTATAGTTCATGCTACCCTTGAATTCGCTACATAGCCCAAGCTGGCCTTGAACTCAGTGATCCTCCTGCCTCAGCCTCCCAGGTACTAGGATTGCAGGTGTGCAGCATCACGCCTAGCCACATTTTTTATATTTAAAATGTACTACATACTTCAGTAAAGCGCTTCCCTACCCATGAGAAATGATTTTAGATGACACATGGGTAAACCTTTTTAATAGTTCAGTACTGGGCTAGGGATTCAGTTCAGTGGTGCCACTACCTGCCTCACAAGTGTAAGGTCCTGAGTTTGATCCCCAGTACCCCCTAAAAAAAAAATTAAAAAGTTTAGTACTTACAAGAAAAAAACTGACCAGCATATCAACTTGTGATTTCATAGTTTCTTTGTTTCTTCTCGGTAATGAGGATCAAACTCAGGACCTTGCACTTGTGAGGCAGGCAGCAGTACCACTGAGCCCGATTTCATGGATGTTAACCAAGGGGCCAGGGATTTAGCTCAGTGATTCCGCCACCTGCCTCACAAGTGCAAGGTCCCAAGTTTGATTCCCGGTACCAAAAAAAAAAAAAGAATGTTAGTTCATGGATATTAACCTCTTAAAATGATACTAAAAGTAAAAGGAATGCTTATACCATGTGAAAGGCTCTGAGTTCAAACCCCATCATCAAGGGGGGAAAAAACACACATACAGATGAGATTTAAAGCTCATTTAAATAATAAAAATGCTAATTAAATAAGATAGCTGGTAGTATACAGATATGGCAAAACCCCTAAGAGTGCTGTGTGAGTAACCTGAGTGTGAAAAATACCCATTTCACGAACATTTTGTTTCAACTTTTTCAGTATATGTGCTGTGAAGCAAGCACCACTTCATGTCCACTTTAGGAAAACAGATAAAAGATACATGCGTGGGTTCCCAATATTTTCAGTCCAGAAGCTTAACCTGTATGATAATATGGACAGATGTGCTCAGTTTCTGAGGGTCACAATGAAGCTGCCAGGAAAGTCAAGCTCTGTCCCTCAGGTCTCTGTTACATTCCATTCTAAATGGGGTCAGAATTCTCTAAGAACAGGAGTCCCACACTTCAGAGCAGAAACAGCCTCTGTCTCCTACTCTGCCAGGTCAGAATTAACATAGACATGTGCACATATGCACTAGAAGACTGCTGATGACGCCATGAAGGCCAGACCTTGGAAGGGAGAAGACACAAGGTCACCGAAAGGAAACACAAGTGGAAGAGGCCAGTAACAGCCACAAGCACCAAGTGACTCCATACCACATGCAGCGGAGCAGCATTTGTGACTCTTTCATCTAAGACATCAAAGTTGCCAATGCAGCGTCTGGAATCCTACTATCTCAATGTCAGCACACGTCACATTTACAGAGCAATGCATTTAAAAAGACTCTACAGCAGAGACAAATAGCCTTTGCTCAGATAATTTCACATCACTGAGGATAAACTTAGATGTTTCTAATTAGCGTCTTTAAAAAGTTCTGAAATTCTAAATAGTAAAAAAAAAGCATAAGCCGGGCATGGTGGCACACACCTGTAATCCCAGCACTTGGGAGGCTGAGGCAGGAGAATCTATGTGAGTTTGAGACCAGCCTGGGCTACATAGTGAGTTTCAGGTCAGTCTCAACTACATAGTGAGAGACTGTCTCAAAAAACCAAAAA